GAGCCTGCCCTCATGAACTCGTGTCCACACTTTATGCAGAAGTGGTTTAATAACCATTTGGCAAGGCTCTACTCACCTGGCTTCCCGAGCTCTGTTATGGTGGCCATCTCAAGAACCCTCGTTCAAAACTCGGAAGCATGAACTATCTTTGAAGAATAAAAGAATTGTGCATTTACCTGCGCACTGAACAGTCTGCAGATGTGAGCCTCGGCTTCGTGAGATGAAGATAATAGGCAGAAGCAGTGACACAAAGCGTGGTAGTTATTGGAGGCATTTCACATTAAGAAGAGAGGCACGGCTTGCATTAGTGATACGTCTATTTCCCTTCACTGAATTGAGCGTGAGCTTCTTGTTACCAGTGTTTACAAAGTTTGATGCCCGCATGCGCAGAGAGTTGTAATCTCGTTGTTTGTTTTTCTAATAAACTGATGAGCGCCCGTTCTTTCTGCTCCTTCTTTTTTCTTTTCTGTTCTCAAAGTTTGCGCTGAGAAGTACCCCATTCGTGTATTTCATGAACGAGTATAAAAGCAAGCGGGAGCGCTTGCTTCATGCGGTGTACACTAAAGTCCAGTGTTCTCGCCGGCTCCACTAGCATATTCACAGTGGAAAAATGAAACATTCGGTGGATCCCACGTATCTTCGGAATCGATGTTACGAGAAAACCAAGCGAGATTTCAACCAATCACGATGCGTGTTTTTGCGCTCCTGTCCTTACCCGTATCCTCGCTCCACGCTTTTCTCGCGCAGCTCTTTTAAGGGCTACAAATGGTGCCTCATAGAGGCAACCGGGAAAAAACGCCGCAGCAGGAGGCCATCATGGCAGCCTCGGCATCGACATGGGTGCCAACCCAGCAGCAGCAGGCACCATCAAAGCCTGCACGCTCCAAAAAATACACACAGCACCAAGAGGACAGTAGCCATCACACTGCCACCCTCTCCCCGGCTTTGAGCGAAGCGAAGGTGCGAACCAGAGCTTCCTCTTCTACTGCCACGGCCGTGACTTCCTGCAAAGGATACCCTCTTAGCAGCAGCAACACCTCCTCTCGCCTCTCAACCACCACGGTTGCTGAGCAATCGGGGCCCACTCCTAGTGCTGGCGTGCCTCCAAGCACATCTCAGCGCCTCGATGGTCCCCATTTCGCTGGCGACCTTCCTCTGAGTGACTGTGCAGCCACCATAATCTTTCGGCCCGTTGGAAAGAAAATCAACTTCCTGGCCGCGTCGAGGGTTGCGATTGCCGCCTTCCTTCCAGGGTTCCCAGCCAACCAGCGTGTGTGGCTGAATTTCTGGCGCAACTTGGTTGCAGTTCACAGCCAACCCTTTCGTCGATCTGAACGCCCTACTCTATATCGGGACGATCTGCGAGATCAAGGTTCGGGCCAAGCAACTGGACCTAAACACTTGTGTTGGCATCATTTCTAGAGTGGGACCAAGCGATCCCCTTCGAAGGACCTCACCGACAACAATGGGTTAGCCAGTCACTTGTGTCTGGTGTCCGCAGAGACAATTGCCTCACCCGCACCTTCGTAGGGACTACAGTTCCCAGCCACCCAGCGTGTGCGGCTGAATTTCAAGCGCAACTTGGTTGCAGTTCACACCAACACCATCGTCGATCTGAACACCCTACTCCATGTCGGGAACTGCCACCTGCTCGCGAGACTGAATGGTGCCTGTGCTGCAGCATCAAGCACGCTCACAGAATCATGTGCAGCGCACCCTCACTGCATAAACTGTCTCGGGAGACATTCCGCAAACGAGTTGCACTGCCTATCCTGGCAACTCCAGACGGGACCCTGACTTGCCGCCAAGCTCTGGAACACGCTACGACCCCTGGCAGCAGCGCCACCATCATCAAAGAACGCTCCTTCCAAGATGTGCTTGCCAGCACCGGCAGCACTACCTCGGAGGCCGCCCCTTGTCCTACAACGAGTGTGCCTGTCGTCCCCACTACAATGACTACGGCCTCGCCCTCATCCACATCTCAGTCAGCCACTGCCGTCGTCACCAAGTGAGAGTGGTGCTCAGGTGAGAGTGGTGCAGTCAACAGCGACATTTGCACCAACTGGCAACAGGGGCGGTTTCAGGAAATTTTGATGAGCTTTGAGCCACGAGACGTCTTCACCGTCGACGAGATGGATCTTTTTTATAAGGTTTCCTTTCCATTGCTCGCTGCATTGTCCTCAACTTAAGCTGAACCCTCTTTCTAATCTTACGTGTTTTGTCTTCGTGGGTAAGTGTAGTATCGTGCGGCGGACACCCTGCACGGAAAACATAGGGCACGGTGCTGAAGCACTAGCCGACAAGAAGTACGCAGCAGCCAGTAGCTAACTTATGCAATAAATGTACAGCATACACACAACAATGCACACGTATGGTACAGATTCCAACATACGAGTAAGAATGAAAAATTTAGGACACGAAGTCCTTAAACCTGGATAGTTTCTTACGCAAATGCTTAAAATGCCAAAGCTGATTGCACTTTGAAGTGCTCCCTTGCGGAGCAGCAAGTTCAGTTTGTGAGGATGAGCCTACTGCCTTGCTTACATGCTGCTCAGGCACAGCTGAGAGAATTAAGGGGTCTGACTACTTTCTTAAGCGTCTCTCAGCTGTAGGTGGAGACAAAGAACCGTAACATGAAACATGGGAACCTGAAGGTTCGGAAGCATGTCCATTAGTGTTAGGAAAAATACTGGCATGGCACTGGGCTCGTCAGTCAAGTATTGATACGGAGCCTCTCAAGTATTGATACGGAGCTCCGATTTTGCTGACCCGTTTTTGATGCCTTCAGTATTGATGTCGTCGATCTGTACTATTCTGTTCCGCATGGTCCGTTACTACAAAGAGTAAAAAAGTGAATCACAGACAAAAATGAAGTGGCTTTTTGTAACAGTCTGTGGTGTGTCTGTAGAATGTTTTATTGTGATTTTGGCCATGTATCTGAGTTCCGTGCTAGTGGGGTGGAATGAAGAATTGTACGTCCAGAAGGATGGGATTTGCATTGGGTCTAGTGCCGCCACGATCTTATGCAATGTTTTTTTGAGCAAACTTGACACAGCAGTACGTAAGGAGTTTGATGATATGAATCTGAAGCTGTTCAGATTTGTAGATGACTACCTTGTTTGGTAAAAGACGATTCGGGTATCAACACGTTAATGATTGTTTTGAAAGCTTTTAAGAAAAACGGGTGCGGCTTACAGTTTACCTTTGAGGTGCCAAAGGAACAAAAATTAGACCTAAAAATTAGTCCTTTTCACACATGTTGGATGTATCACCCTAGATCGGAAAAACCATCATTGAGCTATCATTCGGCACATTTGAAGATAGTAAAAAATGGAATGGCAACTTCTTGCATCAAAGCTGCCCTCATGAAATTGTGCATACACTCAATGAATGAGAGTGTTTCTATGCAGATCAAGCGCTTGAGGGGAGCCGGTTACTAATATGATTGTATCCTTTTGGCCTGCAAGAAGAATCGTTGGGAAGTTAAAAATGCAATGATTGGCACACGGGAAGAGAGGAGACAAGTTGAGGGGGAAGAAGAGCAGACAGTCGTCATCCGTGTCTGCACAATATTTCACGATGGTTGAAAAAAGTTGCATTAAGATATGGCGTGCGGGTTGTTTTTTTGGCTGAAAACAAATTATGAAAAATTTGCCTAGCAGTAGAAAGGCTCGTTAACAAAAAAGGAACTGGAGAATCGAACAGATTTCGCATAAAACATGGCAGGAGGTACATTGAGTGCAAAAAAGATGTACACGGAACTCCTTCCACATGTGGAAAAGAATACCTTGGTCAGATGGGTTGGTGCATAAATGTGCTCCTCCGTGAACATGAGAGTTCACTAAAGGGGGACCTCTTACTCACACTTAGGGATGCACTGCAAGGAGTGCACCTGCCAACCGAACTTTTCAGACACACGAATAATTGATAGGCACAACAAGCAGACGACGAGGGAAATAACGGAAGTGTATAGAATAAGAAAAGGAGGGGACAGTTGCGTCAGTCAAGCGTCAGTTCTACTAACAGATGCGGAATTTGCTTTTTTGGACGACACATAACCCAGTGCTTTTTTCTGTTTCATGTTTTTTGTCTTTGCGTTTTTTCTGTTTTACGTTTTTTTTTCTTAGCTCTTGACACTTGTTTGTTTCGGGTTGTGTGCCATCTATTCTGGGAGTGCATATTTTGTTATATCATGTTGTTGATGATGACAGGGGAAGTTAGGAATAACGTACATGCGTATGATGTATTTATTAGTGGTCGCTTCGAAATAAAAGTTTCAGTTGCTTGTAAGCGCTTGTCTGTGTCCTCTCTGAGTGTGTGTATTTTTAGCGCTTGTTTCATCATGAACCTTTACCAACACGCCCAACTGACAGTCATCCTAAACATAGATATCTGTGTTTTATGTGTCTGGTGTCAAGGTCTTAGTTGCGTGGCATTTGACCAAGTGTGTCTTATCCGCCCAAGGCAAGGTGTCGTTTGGACCAACTACCAAAACATGGAGAAACATTTTCACAAGTGGTGCTAATATTGAATTAATGTCAGTGGTTTTCTAGACCACTGATGGAATTGTAATGTTTGCATGCAACTATCTACTTCAACAGTAAAGAAAGCAGATGGTGTTCATTTTTTATTTATTCTAAAATAATGTTATGATCTGTATTTTATTTATTTTATTGACTTCAGAAAGGCTTTAACACGTACCTTGCTGCAACAACATGCTAGGAACATCTGTGTTTGTGCCATGTGGTTAAGAAAAATGCGTTAAGGACACCATAGAATTGCGCTCGCCAGATGCATTCAAACGAAAGCGAAAAATTCTGACTTTATGAAGAGTCATAATATCAGTTTGACTCCACAACTCAACATCGAATTCGTCATGCTCGTTGTATAAATAATAAACTGGTGAAACCCAATGAGGCTGTTTAAATATGTGAAAGAACAAGTGAACGAAACCATAGATTAGAAACAAACTAATTGTCGTCACTGTTTTGGGAATGCAGGCAAGTCTTCAGTGGAGATGTACCGCCAATGTCTGCTGGCGGGCTGTCGCTGCGTGGAGCTTGACTGCTGGACGGGCCGTAACTCGGACGAGGAGCCGATTGTGACGCATGGTTACACAGTGGTCACCGAAATCCTTCTCCGGGAGGTGATCGAAGCCATTGCCGAGAGTGCCTTTAAGACCTCCGACTTTCCCGTCATACTATCATTCGAGAACCACTGCTCGCCCAAGCAACAGGCTAAGATGGCCACATACTGCCGCAAGCTGTTCGGCGACATGCTGATGACCGAGCCGCTGCCGTCGCACCCTCTGCGTCCAGGACAGCCTTTGCCTTCGCCTAAACAGCTGCTGCGTAAGATTATCATCAAGAATAAGAAGAAGCACCACCATGCACGACACCATCCTCACACTGCTGGATCCAAGCCCTCTTCAGCTGCGGCTACGGCTATGGCTGCAGCCACTGCTGCTGCAGCAGTGCCGGTTGAAGAGGAGGATGATGATATCTCGTCGCCGCTGGATCTGGCTGCTGTGCCACAAGTTGACACTGGAGAGGTTCGTTCAGGATCATTCTCTTGTGTTTCAAGAGATATAGCAGTACCACCCAAACAGGTGGCTTATATTTGTTGCACAAGTTACCAATGCCAAGGAATCCTACTGTAATGGTGTTGCAATGTACTGTTTCACGGTATTTATAGTAATGTAAAATAGTTGACTGGTAGGCGAATTGGTGTTTGGACATAGAAGCCATTATCAGTTGCGCTATCCCACAAAACACCAGACGAACACAGGCACACTCTGACAATTCGTTTTATTCACAGGTTTGTTCATGAATAAGTTGCGCACGCGCACTGTTGCACAACAAGCAGCACAACAAGCAGTTGCACAAACAAAAGCGGCCACACAGCCATGGCTGTGTGGCCGCTTTTGTTTGTGTGTTCTACCTTGTGTCCTGTGTATGGTTCAGCTGCTGAAGATTGTTTATGTGTTTCTAGTAGTGTTGTGGCAGCTGTTATAGTGATAGTCAGTGGTAGTATTTATTATTACGAGATTATTTTCACAAAATTTTGTGCTACTCAGCATTGGGCGCATCGCATCATAAGTGCGCCAGTATTTGGAGCAGTAAGAAACAGCTTTTGGCAGCCTGAAAAAGCTTCATTATGCCCAATACGTTGGAGAATGCGTTTAGTTTTTTTCACTTAAAGTCCTACCTAGGAGCTTCAGCATGCAATCTAAATGCAAGGGTGCAGTTTAGATACGTCGTGCACTATTCGACACATTCCGTCCTAACTTATAGTTTAGCTTTGTGTCATTGTGCTTCAGAGTCGTGGACAAAAGTATAGCATATCATGTGCGGTATAGCACTAGGCGGCTGCGATTAGCAACAAAATGCCGCCGAGTCTGCTGTGGGCGACGCATGCGTGTTTTTTTTTTTCCTATCATTAGCCTTTTTTTCTCCTTATTTCTCTGTGGACGTCACACGAACTCATATCGCTAAGGCACTACGTAAATTTCTCACTCCAAGCACGACCTAGCAAATTTGAATATGTAGCTTTGACTGACATAAATGAAGTGGAATTATATGCAAATGAGATTATAACAACAATCGCAATGGTAGTCTTGATGCTACCAATTCTATAGCGTTTTTGTTCTTCCCGCTAAATTGTTCAAGAAGTTCTTTTAATCATAATTCAATTGTTAACACAACTGCTCTTTTGGCGTTCCATACATTCCCGAAGGCCTCGATACAGTAGCTTTTGGCCGTCGGTTTGCTGCAATATGACTTTTGTAATGCCCTGCTAAATAAGCTCTCTACTTGATTCTTTCTTTCAACTAACAGTGTCGCACCTACTATTTACAATGGCACATTTCACTTTACCTTGCTCTTATGTCGAGGTGATGTTGAGAACAAAAGTGAAATAGTTTGAGCCGACCTAATGGGCTTCAGCCAAGTTCTTCCATCTATACATAAATGTGTTTATGCATCCATGTATAAAACAAAACAGTAGCAAGACTTCTGCTAACGATTTCGGGAAATCGCAGTATTCAGTTTACAGTTATAATGATGGCAACTTTTAGCATACATCTAAGGTCTTCCCCAAGAGAATTCAAGAATCGCTGTTTTTCTCATGAGCGTTCCACGGCAAGCCGTTTTATGCTACTTTCCATGAGTGCCAAGTTTTTTATTACCCGACTTCAATGTCTAAATTTACGATACACCTCGCTCAGTTGTCACTGCATCCACCTTTATCACTTATGCAACATTTTTATTAATGACTCTATGTTCATATGTGTTCTCTGATATTGTAGAAAGCTTTTCAAGGCGGCGACCGATCCAATTTCTTGTGGGAACATACTTGCTGCGTGGTGATTTTTAAACACTTGAGAGCCGAGGCATGTCTATCCGGTGTCCGTCACAGTAGAGTACAGCACCGCGTAAAAGATTAAGACCAAAACTATAGGCCATAACACCATGAAAATCCCGAAATCTGAACACCCATAAATGAAAGCATATGACACAACGAAAGGTTATCAAGAATAAAATGAAAGGCTAATGTAATGAGAACAAATTAAGAAACCACAATGCCATACCAGGTTTTTTTTTTCCTATTTCGTGTGATAGTGGTTACGTAAACCGGTGGTGGTGGCGGAGGCAATGGATAACTAGGGCGCCACGCAAGACCCGAGTTGTGGTCGCATAACAGCTTTCGCGTCCCATGTAAACACCTAACAAGCAAAACTTCATTTGTCACTGAGTGGCTCATACGCCGTATTCACACAATACCATATATTCTCTGTTTGGGAGAACAGCAAGGGCACTTTAAAATGTGCTTCAACTACGAAGTGCCGTCTACACCAAAATTATCGTATAATGAACAGAGGGTGCGACTATGATACACAGCACTCTCTTAAAGTGCAGAAACTTATTTTATATGCTTGTGTAGATAGCACTAGGCAAACGTACAAGCAGTTGAACTGCGCTAAAAATGCGGGAAAAACTGCAGTTTGACAATGAGCATGTCCTAAGCGCATGCGCTAGCTCACAATGTATGGAGAAATCCCCACTAGGCACACTTCAGCCACCAGGTTGCAACTTTGCTCGATCTCGGCAAAGAGTTTTATCAATTAACTAGAGGGGACTCGAGCTGCAATCATCCTAGCGACCATGGTGTAGATGGCTAGTACATGGATTTGCCAAGTCCTGCGTGCTTGCGGTTTTCAAGCAGTTTATTACTGTGTCTTGCTTTTGTTTTTGTTGTGTTCCAAGCACCCCTGTGTCACGAGCGAGCCTCCGAACCCGCGAAGGACCGGATGCTGAAACTGCTTCCAGATGTTGACTCTTCCCCTTCCCCCGCTCAACGCAAACGAGCCACCGTCGTTTTCTCCGGAGTTCGGCCGCCGCCTCCATCCGAATAGGAATAAACCTGTTTTTAACCGTTCGAGGCTGTCCGAGCTTTTTGGACTACCGCGACCAACGCGTACGTCTATGGGCCGACGACAACACCGGACATAACAGTGGCGACGAGGAAGTGGATTTGGACCAACGCTACGCAACGATATTGACAAGCTACAAGCTATGGCTATGCATGGGCTCCCAAATCGGCTACCCGAATTCAACGGCTCATCATGGTCATCGTGGTTTGGACGCCTGCAATTTTACTTCGAAGCTAACAACATCACTGATGCAGCAATGAAGAGGGCCAACCTGCTAACGCTGTGTGGGGAGCAGACATACGACACAGTCTGTGCCCTGATTCAGCCACGCACTCCAGCAGCCGTTGACTACGACGACATCGTAGCAGCACTACAAGAGCACTATGACCCAAGGTCATCGGAGGTCTACTGTCAAGCCCGCTTTCAACGGGGAGACCAACTGGAAGGCGAAAAAGTGGCCAAATACGTAGCAGCTCTCAAAAAGCTCGCTGCTGACTGCGATTTCGGGACGTTGACCGCGACAGCTGCAGCTACTGCGCAGGAGGGAGGATCGACTGCTACACCTGCTAACACCACTATGCTCCCCTTGGACGTTATGTTGCGTGACCGTTTTGTGTGTGGACTGCGTGACGCAGGCCTACAACAACGCCTGTTCGCGGAGACGGGTCTCACCTTCTCCAAAGCCTGCGACATCGCCCAACGAGCGGAGAGCGCCGGTCACCAGCAGAGGGATATTCGACGGAACGTCGAGCCGGTGCATCACACTAGTCAGCAGTCAGGTCATTCCACGTCTAAGGCGAAATCAAGCAGAAAGACACAGCGCTGTTGGCGATGCGACGACATGCACGATCCCCAGGTATGTCGATACAAGACAGCGACCTGCAATTTTTGCCAAAAACTGGGATACATTGAAAGGGTATGCATCTCGAAGCGCAAACAGCTCGGACCGAAGACTTCAGTGCAACGGAACAACAATGTCGACACACAGGAGGGCCAGACACAAGATACAAGCCGAACAGCACTAACGTCATCGGCACTGTATGACTTAAACGCCGTTGTGAACCTCGGAACGAGACCGAAGATTACAACTGAAATTATGGTACACCAGCGCCCTATCAGGTTTGAGGTGGATTCCGGAGCAGCATGTACGCTCATCAGCGAGGACACTCTTTGCGCTACTTGGCGTGAGAACGCGACAGCTCTCCAGCAAGACGACACGCAGCTGAGAACGTGGTCCGGACATTCCCTTCCACTGCTGGGCTGTGCCAACGTAGACCTGTACTACAACGGGCAGACCCATCAGCTCCCCTCGCCCGTCGTCCACGGTTCTGGATCACGCCTTTTAGGACGAAATTGGTTCACCCCCTTTGGAGTGGTCATTGGCGGAGTTCACCACACACTCAGTTATCCGTCAGTGGAGCAGCTTTAGGATAAGTACAAAGCAGTTTTCTCCAAAGAAATATTAGGGAACAACGGACCTCCAGTCACACTGGAGCTGCGGGAGGATGCGAGGCCAAAATTTTTGAAAGCTAGGTCGGTGCCTTTCGCCCTACGAACGTCAGTCGAGAATGAGCTTGACCGACTGCAGGAACAAGGGATCATCGAACCGACGCAACATTCGGAATGGGCGACACCACTCGTTGTCGTCCGAAAGAAGAACGGTACCCTACGCCTCTGCGGAGACTACCAGAGCACTGTCAACCTGGCGACAAAAGCATCTTCCTACCCACTGCCGACACCGGTAGAGGTTTTTAGCACGCTTCGTGGTGGAAAAATCCTCAGCACCTTGGACTTGACACAAGCCTACCAGCAGCTGAAGGTGAGCGAATCAACGTCTGAACTGCTCACAATAAACACTATTAAGGGTCTTTACAAAGTTAAAAGGCTATCATTCGGAATATCTGCAGCACCAGCAATCTTCCGGAATTTTATGGAGTCTACACTTAGCGGGATCCCAGGTGTTTGCGTCTACTTGGACGATGTTATTGTCGGTGGCGCCTCCAATGAAGAGCACACAGAACGCTTGGAGCTCATTTTGGAAAGGCTAGCAAATGCTAATTTGCGCATCAGTAAAGAAAAATGTGTTTTCGCGGTGCCTGAAGTAAAGTTTCTTGGACATC